CCTCTTTTTTCCTATAGATATTAACTTTATTGACCCTGTCGTTTTCAACCTGTCTAACTCCTGTTTTATCCATTCTAGTTTCTCTTTCGAAAACTTGAACTGGACTGGTATCTTCTTTTGTGCTAACGAGTTCACTCTTCTTGGAAAAAAAGGAATTTTGTTTTTTAACCAAAACAACACCAAGGCTGCCAGCTTTATTACCTCTCTCCAATAAGCCACTGAAGAGTCTAAGTGAATCCTTCCCACTACTGATTGTTGTTCCATACTGCTGTCCAGCTGAGTGTAGTTAACTTTTTTTATTTCCAGAGCCTGACTTCCGAAAGGACTGGCCTGATTTTTTCTGAGGGCAGTCCCAAGCTATATATTCTCTCTCTTCACAAATAAAACATACTACATTTGCTCTATTTCACCTTGGAAACTTATCTGGAACATACTGTCTAAGGTTATCTGAAAAAGAACCTGACCGGCCCCAAGAGTTCCCCTGGTCATCATATGGATGCTAACAGAGTCCCTGTGCAGAGGTCATATTATTATACAACAGCCTCCCACCTGAACCTAAACCTGATTGGAAAGGTTGTTGAAATTGTTGAAAAGGTTGTTGGGCCCATAATAAAGCCTGGTTAGAAACTGGGTTTTCAAAACCTATTGGCATTGCTGTCATAGCGGGTCCTAAAGATAAAGTCTTACTTTCCCATCTTGGTCACTTATTTCTGGCTGATTGCCTAGCATTGGCCAATTTCTCATGAAAATAAGCTTCTATGGGGTCATCATTCGCTGGATTCTTAATACTCGCAGCAACATTCCATCTCTCCTTGTTGGCTACTCTCAGCATAAAGGCTCTAGTAGCTGCCACATCTCATGCCTTAACCACAAAATTCTACTCCTTACTTATCAAAGAATTATCTAAATACCTTCCAAGCTTGCACCACTCATTATATTTGAATTGGTCCCTTGGCTTATTCAGTTTTTTCTTAGGCCAATACCTATCATTATCAACTGAATACACCGATTGTACACACCTTTTAAAATCCTCTAATGCCTTTCCTAAAGTTGCCTGTACAGTCTTTTCTAATAATTTCTCTAATACAATATATCGTGAATCAGACAGAGAGTCATTTTGAACTTCAGCATTAGCCTCATTTTCTATTCTTTTTTCATCTGTATCACGAACTACATCCTCCGACTCTAAACTCATCCTCTCATCCCAGAAATCCCTATCCTGACTACAGCCTTCCACTCTTCCTTTCCCTTTTGCTTTACTAACTACTCTCCCTACTAACCTCTCAACTAACTCCTTTTTTGCCCCCACCTCTGAAAAACCTTCAGCCTGACATAATACTCTTAGAGTTTCTGCTGTCATACACTCTAAGCTATTTTTTAACCCTTGACGTGATGTCAACTCTACCTCTAGACACACCTCTTGTAACTCACTTTCCATAGTCTAATTTACTTGTTAACCACGTATAAGTTACTACAAAGCTAGACTTTTGTCAAGCTAGCAGCAAGACAAAAGAGAAGGGTCTAATACGTAATACTACCCACTCTAAATAACTATTATTGCCTGATATAATACTTACATACACATACATTTTTCCCATTACTTCATATTTACGTCAATATTACTTTACTAATTTTTTTTTAGCATACTTATTATAACTGGCAATTGTTGGTTGTATCGTGTGTGATCTGTGATCTCATGACAAATAGATGCCTCGTGATTTGTCCACAGCATCTCAGTTTAGTTCCAATAGTTAATGTCTAATGGTTTATTTACTTATTAGGAAATATAATATCAGTAGGATTGTATATATGATTTAGGGTCAGGTCAATGATAGTTGATTAGAAGGGATAGTAGTTTAAGGATAATCAGGATTGATTTAATTAAGAGTGGCTTTAGCATTAGTCTTTACGATATTTTAAGAGTGATCTAAATAAATGGTTGTAATAATTAATTAATTTTATCACTACAGGCTTAAGCATTCTGATTAATATTTCTATAGGTTGTCCTATATAAGCGTATTACTCTTTATAAATTGTATAACTATATGATATACATCTCCTATTTATTTAGGGAAAGGTCTATTCAGCCTCAATGCATACTTCTTTTATGTTAAATAAGAGATCCAGTGTATACAAAGTTAATTTAGAATGATAGAAAAACGTTTATTTATTTAGCAATGTTAATGTAATTTAATGTTAGAGAAGTTTTAGAGATTTTTAATATAAAGTATAGTAAGCTATTTATTTAGAACATTATTGGTAACTTCTCTCGTAACTGGTCTTTCTGGAAAGGCAAGAAGGACCTCTATTTATACAATTTTCATTCATGAAGACTTTATTAAAGAAATTCTACTTATGATCAATTTGCTCAATTCTGATGAGCAGTTATTTACTCCTTTCTAAGCAATTACTTTGCCTGTGATTATTCCATTCTAATGTAATATGAAGCCACACTGCTCACATCACTAATCTCTGTTTTATTCCAATATGCGTTTTTAGCCCCAACTGCTCATTTTAATGTTTACTTTAATCTTAACTGCCCATATATTAATGTTTATATACATAGTTATCACAGTTCTTAAATATAAACAAAGGTATGAGCAGGATGAATTATAAATAAAGAACTATATACAGGTATAAGAAGGCTATACTAATATAAATAAACAAAGTTTTAAGGAAAAACGTGACTTGGCCAGGACATCAATTTACATTTCAACAATACTTGTGATTTTAATGCTTAAAAGTAAACATTAGCATTTAGTATTACTCTGAATTATTCTATTTGGGTAATTTCTATTCAAAATTTTCAGTATTATTATATATTTTTAGTAATTAATTTTCTTTAAAATCTGCTTTTTTTGGTATTTTTGAGTTTCACAAATTTCAAATATTTGTAAAGATACTCTATATCTTTAGCACTAGTTAAGTGCTTGCGATTACACATGAACAGCATTTTTCAAGGTGATGCATATATCAGATTGTGTTCAAAATTTTTTTGCTTGTCAACTAAGGATTATTTAAATAAAAATAAAAAAAGTATTAGGTAGCATAACTGTAATAAAACAAGATAAAAATTAATATACAATCAAATCTCTTTATAGTCACTTGCTCTATAATCACATTTGCTTATAATCATATAAAATTTTAAAATCAACTTATATAATACTTATAAAATTTAACCTCTATATAAGCACAAACTCTCTATAAACATCAAATTCTTTAAACCAAGGGTATGATTATAGAGATGTTTAACTGTATATATATATATATTGATTTGCATAAATAAACTAAAAATAAAAAATAATTTGTTCAAACTTTTGTCATTATTCACCCTATTCATTTACAAATAATAATAAGATAGCTGCATAATATTATTACACAAAATCAGGAACAGAAAACTTAGAGTATTGATATTGCATCTAGTAAATATATAGGTTGTTGCATTATTGTACATGTGTAGTGATGTGTTATATATACAATATACTATGTACTGTATATGACAGAATTTTTGAATGATTGCACAGTGTGACTTTTAGAATCCAGGTTAATTAGCATGATTGTGGCTAGCTAGTATAATTCTGATGAGGTTATATAATGTTACAAACTGCACAATAGTTCATTTCTAAATGTAAGTACTATACACAAATTTTTGCTGGTCCTTTCTAAGGTAGTTAGTAAAGTAGTTCTGTATGATTATATAAATATGTATGAATGTACAAAGATTTTGTAAAAGTTTGATAGTGTGTGATTAATATAGGTTCGTAAAATTAATTTTTACAAGTCTATTATCTGTTTGACACAAGGAAGTGATGAATTATTAAGTGTGACTAATAAATATTAGCTAATTATTTAGCTAAAGCTTGCTCATCACACAAATGATTCATCACATCTTCATGCCAAATGAAAGAGAAATCCAATCCTTTATAAGTAAACCATTTTTTATGTTTAGAGTTAGGACAAGTGCAAGCATTATTCTTTTTTTATATGAGGTTATAGAAAAATTAACTTTATTCTAAAAAAATTGTACCAGTGCAATTCTGTACAGAATTCTATAACAGAATTCGATGCAAATAAAAAACAACGTAACGGCGATTCAATGATTGCATACATGTTACGCACGTTTATGCACGTACGCAAAAAAAATATGCATAATTGCAACAAGTGAGGCGCTTGCCTATGCGCTGGGAGTTTTTGTTCCAGTCGATACGGCCAATCGGATTTTTGGGATCAGTGTGATTTCGTGTTGGTAGCAGAGGTCAGAACCGGTTAATAAAATTTGGGTTAACTTAAACATTTATTTGTCTTTCGGTGATCTACGTCACCATACATCACATGCCTAGTAATGTGCCATTTATATGTTAACCAAAATTTTTTTTTGCATACAGTCCGTAGAATGCGTATCTAGCGATCTGATTAGCTGGTATATAGTAAATTAGTACAGTATGGTAACGCAAATAGGGGGGCGGACATGAGGAAATCATGATAGTACGTACGATTTGTAAAAAAAAAATTCTTTTGAAATTGTACAACCACACTAAGAATAAAAAATTGCGGTATATGTCGGTTTTTTTTTTAGCATTTTTTTTTTTTTTTGCAAATACAAATGGAACAAAAAATTAACGACGCTTTTAAACAACTAAATTTCGATGAGTGTAAAAAATTTGCAGATACAAACGAAGCAAACGAAAATTATTGGCTTGGTTACTGTTACGAATTTGGAATTGGGGTTGAAAAGAATGAAAACGAAGCATTCATTAATTATCAAAAATCTGCCGACCTTAATAATCCAGACGGAATGTATCAAGTTGGTTATTGTTATAATTTAGGAATTGGAGTTGAAGTTAATAAGCAAAAAGCATTCGAAAATTATCTGAAATCAGCGAAGGCGGGTGATTTAAATGGAATTTGGAAAACTGCTTGGTATTATTTTTACGGAATTGGCGTGGAAGAAAATTATGATAAATATGGTGAATGGATTAAAAAGTAAGCTAATTTTTTGATCTTAATATTTTAAAATTGAGAATATTTCATACAATTTTAATAATTAAATTTTATTTATTAGGAAGTATAAAAAAATCTATCTGTTAATTATAATGAAGTTCAAAAAATTAATTAATTGTTTGTATTAATTTAGTCCGTAAGCATAAAAAACATTTATTAATCATTGAAATTTTGAACAGCAAAGCAAGTTCACAAATAAAGAACATAAATACTTATTTACCATTACTATTATATAATAACTATTATGTAATACCCTTCAAATTATTTCATTCGCATTAATCATTCATTCAGTTCGTAAGTATAAAGAACATTTATTAATCATTAGAATTTTGAACAACAAAGCAAGTTTACAAATAAAGAATATAAATACTTATTTACCATTACTATTATGCGATAACTATTATGTAATACTCTTCAAATCATTTCATTCGCATTAATCATTCATTCAGTGAGTGAGTATAAAGAACATTTATTAATCATTGGAACTTTGAATAGTAAAGCAAGCTCACAAATCAAGAACATAAATACTTATCTACCATTACTATTATGTATTACTATTATGTGATACCCTTCAAATTATTTCATTCACATTAATTTAGTCAGTGAGTATAAAGAATATTTATTAATCATTGGAATTAAAAAATCAAGAATATAGATACTTATTTATCATTACTATTATATAATACTCTTCAAATCATTTCATTCGCATTAATCATTTATTCAGTAGGTGAGTATAAAGGACATTTATTAATCATTGGAATTAAAAAATCAAGAACATAAATACTTATTTACCATTACTATTATGTAATACCCTTCAAATCATTTCATTCGCATTAATTTAG